GAGGTTTCATCTACCCGACCCAGCGGGGCTATCACAGACTGCCAGACTTCAGGGCTCGTCTTCAGCTACCAAGTCCAGCCTGCCAGACTCCGGGCTCGTCTTCATCCGTCTGGTCCAGTCTGCCAGACTCCAGGACTCGTCCTCGGCTGCCTGGTCCAGTCTGCCAGACTCCAGGACTCGTCCTCAGCTGCCTGGTCCAGCCTGCCAGACTCCGGGGCTGGTCCTCAGCCGCCTGGTCCAGCCTGCCAGACTCCGGGCTCGTCCTCAGCTGCCTGGTCCAGCCTGCCAGACTCCGGGCTCGTCCTCAGCCGCCTGGTCCAGCCTGCCAGACTCCGGGGCTGGTCCTCAGCCGCCTGGTCCAGCCTGCCAGACTCCGGGGCTGGTCCTCAGCCGCCTGGTCCAGCCTGCCAGACTCCGGGCTCGTCCTCAGCCGCCTGGTCCACCCAGAGTGCGGCCCCGCCCGGCCGGCAGCACTCTGCACGTAGGATGGCAGGCGTGGTGAAGCTTTACTTAGGCCGCTGGTGTGAGAGACGCAATGGCGGAAGGAGTGGCCGTACCTTCTGCACCGGAGGCGCCCGCCGCAGGACGGAGGACAGCAGGCCCTGCGCCATGACCGGCCTGTCACCAGCCAGAGGGCTGGGGGGGGGGGGGGGCGCTCTGCCGTCACCTCGAGTCGCTCCGGAACGGCTGCCACGTCAGCCCGGAGATGTGCTGTTCTGTGGAGAGCGCCAAGTACATCTCCCTGGACATCTGCAAGGGCTCTGATCGACAGATGAAGCGGGAAGACCACCTCATTAGGGACGCAGGCAAGGAGACCGCAGCCTTCCAGCTATCGGTGACACTTGTTAACTTCGGTTGGGGGTGACGTTTAGCCGACAAGTTGTGACCGAAACTTCCACTAAAGCCTTATTTATCCCCGGACTTCAGCCGCTTTTCAGCCACCAAGTTACGTCCCAGGATTTTGAAGAATAATTTTTAGTGCTTTGGTCATGATTTGTTCAGTATTTTTTGCTGCAGAGGACGCAACGCATTTCTGTCTGCAAATACATTTATGCCGATGTGTAGCTGCCGTTGTTGGAATAGCCCAGCATCGATTGTGAGCCACATCAGAACATATCAAGTAAAAAAGCTCGATGTGATCGGCGAAATGGATCTCATAGCTATTTTATCGGAAATGGTGTGGTCGGACGCCTGCAGACGAAGCGTATTGACGATATTTTGTGTGCATCGATAGTGGTGCGCGTATCTAAGAGTGCATCAGAACTGGCACAACTTCTTCAACATGCATGTTGACAACTGAAATGAGAGATAAGGAAAAGGCTGGTGACCACTGCCACGGTCTTAAAGGGCGCAAACATTGGCTTGCCATGAATTGGAAATGTCCTTTCTAGAAATGAAATGTGAGGCGTGCAAAGAAAGTCCCGTCCAATAGAATACAACGCAAGCTTCAGCACGTTTACCCTCAAATTGGCAACGCTATGGTCTGCCGCATGCCTCCTGCTCCGCATGTGGTCAGTAGCCTAAATCTGGCGTGGAATCAGGGTCGGAGACTTTTCACTCTTTTAGTGGTTTTGTCCATTGCTTAAGCCACCTCTGTACTCTCGCTCACCCGTTTAACCTCGTTCCTTTCAACAGGCAGTGTCGGACAACACGTAACAAAAAGCCCATGAAGGCGTGCCGGCTACGCCGGAACTCTTGTTGGCATGATCCTTGCGCCTCGAGCTTGTAGACGTGTCAAATTAAGGAAATGTTAGAATTACAAAGCCCACACTTACTGCATGCTGGGATATCCTTTTTACATTTGTCCGCGCGTGTGGTATGGCATCACGCCTCAGGTTTATTTGGGCTAGGAAAATACATTCGACCGCGGGCCGAAATGTTGTTTTTTTATTCACGCACAGACAGTTCTTTGGACAAAAATACGACTGGAATTTGTGGAAACTGCTCCGGACTGCAGTTGTTGCCGTGGGGGCTTTGCATCCCTAGGAGTAGCACCTGCTTATGTAGGACATTTGTGGTATGCATTGCATTCAGGTGCATTTCCGGAATTTGCAATGTTGATGACGGTGGAGTTCGTAAAGGGTGATTTTTTGCTGTGGCTAGACTTAATAAGCTGCGTATGGTCTCCTCATTGTCTTTTTCTCCGATTTCACAATCCAAGTATGGTGAGAAGAATGGCTTTAAAGCTGTCGCCCCGTTCCGTAACACGACTGCGCTGGTAAAAACACTCCCTGGGGCCACAGGGATTTCCCAAGGTCTTGGTCGCTGTGGAATTTCTGCCCTTGACCTTCGGTCTTGCCAAAAATTGCAACACCGAACTTGGTCCTGCAAAATTACTTTATTGGTATTGGTAAATTCTGCTTGGTATTGCATAATATCCCTTCCCCTTTAACCCTCACACCGTGTACGTTTTTATTACAGTCGCCTAACGTGGGGAGGCTTTAGCAGCCCCCGGAAGATCGCGGAAAGCAAGCAAGGTAGAGCCAGACGGCATTGGAGAGCTCTCGTCAAACTGTATCACAAACGTATGACCGAACAATGGCGAATGTGACCTTTGAAATGGCAACTGAGACCCTCGCCAACGCAGGAACCAAGTTAACGGAGGAACCAAGCATGCGGCAGCAATGCAGAAAGTGGGGTTGATTAGCTCTTAAAAACCCGTATCAGATGGGTAAACCTGCAGTAGGCATCAAGAGATGCAGTCTGTGATATAGCATGTCAGGTCAAAGGGGTAAAGGCTACAATTCTAATGGGCTGTCCGTCTAGTTCAAAGTCTCAACGCGCCAACCGAATTACTCCAACCAACCAAACCGAATTACTCCAACCAACCAAACCGAATTACTCCATGTCTTTAGAAATATTACTTTTGCCCCAACCACAATGTTATCAATGCGTAATGAAATCAATGGGCCGCCGTTACGCTCTGTAGGCGACAGCACTCCCCAGAATTGTCAACCCTCCACGTCACATTTTGACAAAATGACTTTGGCTAATTGGCGACTTGACGAATGTGCGTTTGTTTAATACAGTGGTTAAATTAGCTCATCCATAACTAAACTTAACTTGTGTCATCAATCCAACCAACACTTTGGCCAATGAGCTCTCTGATAATTCAAATTTCAGCTTATGTACATTCTGACAAATTGCTTGCTACTTTTTAGCCGTTTGTCTCCTGAGCATGGCAGGAAAAAGACAATATAAAAATGGCATTCAGTTTTTTTTTTTGCATTCAGTAATAAAGCATTCAGCTAAACGCCGTTTGGCAGTTCGTCTTGAAATCGTCTGGTCACGCTGGAGTGAAAAAGCTGCAGGACATGCATAATAAGCATGTGGTATACTTTAAGCGAGTTAGTGCTCTATACTAGTGCTGTTCTTACTAAGACACCTGTGCTAACATCTCAGCAATATCATTTTTTTTTTTTTTTACCTCGGCCCGAGGTTTTTCATTTTCTCACCTGCATTCGGAGGCTCAGAGAAGCATTGGGGGGGGGGGGGGGGGAGGGGGAGGGGGCTCAAGTCAGCAGGGGCTGCAGGTCCCTCTTAGACGACACAAAGTGATGCCCCTGCTGCCAGGACTTGCGTTTCGCTGGCGCAGCGAGATCTGGCCGTGGCTGAGCGGCTTTCCGGTTTGAGGGACCGCTCTCAGGCGGTGGCTGCCCTCCGAGTGTACCTGGCAAACCACCGGATGGTGTTCCTCCTGCCCGGTCGTGGGCAACAGGTGGTGCAACGCAAGCAAGGCAGGGTACCCCTGACAGCCTGACTGGACTACAGCCAGGAGGCAGCCGCCCCAGACGAATGCCATGACTTGTACGTCGACTTCCTGCGCCACTCCTGCTGCGACGTTGGCCAGGAGTTATGGCAAAAGCGCGGGAACGTCCCGGCCGCGTCCACCGTCGGCCGAGGGGTGATTGTCACGCCCTAGGCATGACGATGTCCTCTAACTCCGCACGCTTTTCGACCCCACCGCCGGTGTATCGAGCCCTAGAAATGATGATGTCCTCTGCCTCCGCACCCTGCTCGACCCCACTGCCGGTGTATCGAGCCCCTCCACGCTGCGCACGCTGACCGGCGTGGTGTGCGCCTCCAGTCAGCAGGCTGCCAGCCGCGCAGTCTGCGGCAGCGCGACGGGCGGAGAGCGGCTGTGGCAGACGCAGCGCGCGTCTAGATGCCGCAGCGACTCCGTCAGCTGTTTGTCGAGATTCTGCTGTTCGGTACGCCGGCCGAGCCAGTGGCTCTGCTCCTCCAGCACTAGCTCGCATGGGCAAGGACCATGCACGCCGCCACCCACGCCTGCCACTGCAGGTGGCAACGTTGCTGGTCTACTGGACGTCGAGCAGCGGTTCCAGTGAGTGGGCAGGTCTCTTAGTGCACCAATGCCCTGCCGCCTGCACAAGCTGTGCTATCTGTAGCCCGTGCGTCAAGAGGAGCTCGAGCTTCGGCAGCGCGTGCCGTGCCGCCTGTTCACACTGCTTCCACCGCGGTGTCGCATAGCGGACAGTACACCGTTTGCCACGCGGAAGATGCTGCCACTGGCGGTGTTTGTCGACGATATGGGAGAAGCCGGCAATACGTACAAATTGTTCATCCCATTGGCCGCCGCTCAATCACAGCGCTATGGGCGCTTACGGTCACCCACAGCGTCGTCACAACCGCCCTGCTGGACAACTGGAATGGAATGGAATGGGTATCCAATGCCCACAGGCTACCCAGACCATGAATACCACAGCTCCCGACTTCCGAAGCTTTTAAAATGGTTCCAGTTCGCTGAGATCTGTTTGCGTTTATTTTTCCTATTTCATGACTACATTTGATAGATTAGAGTGCCCATTTCTGCAAGATGCTTCACCTTCATATACGGCAAAATTGAGGTGCTACGTGGAGAGCTTATTATTTTATATTTAGCTACCGCGTGCTTCATCCTCCTGCGCCACTTCGAAAACATGTCCTTGGCGCAGAAGCACGAAAACACCATACGACATCTCAACGCAAGCGAGATTGGTGAGATTGCGGTGTCGTGATGCGGTAGCGCTCTGCGAAGCGCCTGCTGGAAGCTGGAAGTTAGGTCTGCTAGATATTAGCGCGAACAGTAAGCTGTATGTGCTGTCATTGGATGTACACAATATGCATTTCAAAAGATAAGGGCTGTGACTTTTGGACTTGTGGGGCTCTGCTACAGCCACCCTGTTTTTAGGAAACGAACACTCCGTGTGCAGTGGCCGATTGATGCCCATGAGGCTATGATGCAGCATTGAGTAGAGATGAATTGTTAACCACGGTGTGATTGGATAGACTTTGTTTTTGCTCTAGCCATTGCTTTTGTTATTATCAGTTTTTGCTTGTTTTTCATGGGACATATCGGTGCAATAGATACCATACCTCCTGTCTGCAAAAAGTCCATCTGCATCACACTGGATGCATCTGTGATGTCTGTATGGGAAACATTATGCTCAGGTTTGCAGCACTGGAGCCAAGCTAGACTAATGAGTACTTAATATTTGTTTGTGGAGATGTGTTGTCAAAGCGTTTTGCCTGAAATTGCCATTCAAACCCCATAATTCTTTGAAAATTTCACCATCTGCTGACATGCATGGTGGCTATGCACAAAAGCCTGAGCTCTTAGACTGATAGTGTACATACACTTATTTTGTTGCAAAGGTGTTGATGTTTGGCAGAACACATATTTTTTTGTGTCTGGCCATACCATGTAAGTTATGGAGGAGTTGTAGCATAAGGACTGTAAGACAAAAGTATGTGGTGTAGCTGTCAAAACAAAGCTGTTGACCTGAAATGGAGTGATCAGATGGTAGGGCTTGTGTCACACAATAAGTACTGCTTATTGTGAGCTCTGATCCAAAAAATCCATCCATTCATTCAAAAGGCTCAGATTAGATATTTAGACAAGTCATTAGATACTGAAGCATAAAAAGCAACCAAAATAATGACTCCGAGAAAATGTATGAAACTGATTTGAAAAAAACCATCAATGTGATAGCACAAATACAGGTGCCCAGGGCCCCAAAAATGCATGTTAAGCTGAAATGTCTGGTGCATAAGCAGCATTCCAGCAGCAACTTCAGGGCATGCATATTTGGGAGTGTGCCAGGCCTAGTGCATCAATGTCACTTAAATGTCCAAGAGCAGTGGGTGAATGGGGTACCTGTTGTGTAATAGTTAACATGTCTGCATTAACCACTGCACATCTCGGAAACCAGAGGTACAGGGTTTGATTTGCAGTGGTGCCTGCTCTTCCTCCCAGAGTGAGAGGCAGGCAATGCCATATAGCCTCAGCAGCGGAGCATGTTCTAAAACCCCGATAACACATACAGCAATAGATGAATTTTTGCTTTTGCAGTGCACTAATATCACTTAAATGCCCAAGAGCAATGGAATAAGCTTTGTTTTTGCAGCCTGGCTGATTCAAATTTTTGCCAATTCTTCTTGGGCTGTCTTGGGTTTGAAAGTAGATTCTTCTGGCTTTTGCTTGGGCAGGTTGAGAAATGACAATATTTGATTGGGGCAATAGCAATGTTTATCAGCAATATATATTGTACAATAGCAATATTTATCAGCACAAGATCTTCAGTGATAAATCAGGAGTTGTGCCAGGACATGTTTGGTGCTGCACAGGCCATTTTGATTACATGCTCAACCATATATGATGATTTTTTAGGAAAAAAGTAGTCAGATCTGGTCATATTGGTGTGTCATGACCAATATTGATGTCTGATTCAGCAGGTCTTCCACCTTAAGTTTTTGTTGCAAATGTGGAGAACTTTCACAGGATTACCATGTTATGTGTTTTTGGGTGTAGCCGCACAAGGTATTTGAGTCATGCTGCTAGTTCAGATGAAATACTTAGTCACATTCTTGTCCTTGTAAGCACGGTTGACGGGCCAAAGCAAACTAATATTTTGAAAAATATATGTAAGAAGTTCCTAATTTTGATATGGTCCTTTTTCCAGGGGTTTGTCTTTTGTCTGTGATACTCCTTCAGTGTCAGCCTTAAAAGAACAAGGTTTTGTCCTTGGGTAAGTATGCAGAGGCCTGTTCTTATGGTATGTAAAGTTTCTTCCTTTTTGTCAGGTGTTTTTCTTCATGCTGAAAATTAACATAGCCCTGGATTTCACAGTAAGCAAGTGCATCCATTGTAGGAAAGTATCATTCAGTTTTTAGTGTGTTGGTTATGACAACACTTCAATCCATCATGGTGCAGTAGAAAATAAAACAAAGGTTTTAATGTTGTGTTGTATCTTATTTGTTTATGCTGAGCTTGTTCATTGTCAGAGAAAACTATAATCATAGAAGTTTTGCAGTGGGCTTAGTACTTTAAAGGAGTACAAGACCCTCTTATTTGCTCTTTTTGAGTTATCTTGTGAGGCTGTTTTTTAGCACTCGTCATGTGTTTTAAATCAGCAGTCATGAAATATTGATGTCCACTAACAATGTTTTATTGATGATTAGTAAAAAAGGAGCATGGATAAGATTGTCCCAGAAAGAGCATGACTTGTTACTTTGTCCATCCCTAAACTCCCCCTGCCCCTGCCCCACAGAAAGGCATTTCTGGCAATGTGCAGATGAGATGAAACATACAGAGAGATGAGAATTGACCAACATCACACAACATTTTCATCAGTTACATATTGCGATGATATTCATTGGTGTTGGATGACATATTTTTGGTGTCGGTATTGGTTGTTTATTACGAATACCTTAGGTCAGAATAATCGATATCAAGATAAGGTAACAACAATTTAGATAAGAACTTCACTCAAGATAGGTGCCAATGATTTTTATTTGGTAGCGACAACATATCAGGTTATTTTTGATGCAATGAAATTGGGGAATCTAAAATATATTGCAATCTCAAAGCAGCTAATAAAATCATCATTTGTGCTTGTTTAAATGATTCCATTACAAATGATGAATTTATGGTAGCTCCCCAGATTGATGTCAATGCAAATGAGTTATATGACAAGGAATTGCATGTGCTGGCTTTATACTCCATTGTTTGCAAACTTTGCAGCCCAAGTTAAAGGGAAGAAGGGGGCCGCTAGCATTTCTACGCACTTGGGTATTTTGTCGTTGGGCACGCCACGCATGTAGATGTTTGAGCATGATATATGAAAGAGATAATTTTCAGTGTAATGACTAAAAGTTATATACCTAACTCATGCTCACAAGCTAATGTACCTGCACCTCCATCATTGTGTGGAGAAAGGACTTATACTCCCTTTAACATGAGCTCAAGAGCAGTCAAGCACCATCTGGTATAATAAATATGCGGCAACATTTCGTACCGTAGCATCACAGCCTGACACAAAATGAAATTGACAGCCTGCATCCAGGATTGGTTTGTGTTGAAAAATTTATTATACCTTGGGAGTACTCCTGGGAATACTTGGGAAGAAAATTGGGAATATTGGGAAAATAATAATAGATTTCTGGCACCTTCAGGCTGCAACTCACACTAATTCGATAAGTAGACCAATGCTCTGTTGACTTGGCCACCAACAAATACTTGAGGTGGGGTGTTGGCAGCTGTGTAAAAGTGCCAAATGTGAAATATTTCTGCCTTTTGGAAGTGAAATCTTGATTGAAGAACAGATCAAATATACGCGACTAGCAGCTGCTTCCTGCGAGGCTGTGATAGATGGACGTCTGGTTGTCGCAGGCCCATTCAGACCTGTCACAAACAGCCCCCCAAAAAGCTACTGGGAGCCTATGCTTGAGCACCATGGATCTTGTGCCATTTGAAACACTGTCATCAAGGTATTTGTTAGCAGTTCTTATGAAGCAGAGGCAGTGGGCCTTTCCGTCGCAGCTGCCCTTGGCATGCTAGTATCTGGCTGGCTGCCGTCCTGTTGGAATCCCCCCATCAGAAACCCAGAGCACTGACAATCAGCCAGATGCCCAATGAACATCTATGCCTGCAGTCTGCCCATCATCTGTTGTGGAGGTAACTGCCCTGTACACACATAGCCTAACTTCGACCAAGGCTGGTTGCAGTGAGCCAGTTTTGGGGTTATTGGCTTGTCTGACTGACACCATCCACTGACCATCTAGCGGGTTTTGCCGTCAGCACCCAGCGTCTTAGAGGAAAAATGCAAACCTACGCGCTCTGATCTGCATCACATGAACTCCCGGCATAAATACTTTTTGATCGGGAAAGCGCATTGCATTTGTTGATGCATTACAAATCGAAAGGCCAAGTAAAGCACAGCTGTCTGAGATGTATGCCTGTGAGTCACAATTATAAAGTGATTGGGTTCGTATTTTCCTTTTCATGAAACTACCCATCATGGTTAAAAACGAATGCGAGGTCTCAGCATTGGCTTTATGGTAGTGTGAAGCATTGACTTTTATCTCCCATCCTTTTTATATAATTACAATCATGCTCTTCCTCAGACCCCAAGAACAAAGCTGATTTTACAGTGTTCTTTGTAAATTCCCCATAGGCTGACAGGGACCTTGGGATGTGACCTTGTGAAATGCTCGCTATGCTCTGCAATACGCTGGGGGTTATTGATTTTGAAATTCGTTTACCATTTCACCAAACATGGAACAGTTTCCCAGAACCTGACGTCTCAGGTTAGATCCTCTTTGTGACGGCAGGACTCTCCACGCCCGGCGACTGTGAGACTCGTGTCTGGAGCTGACAGGTGTCCGGCCCATGTCTGGGGCTGACTGATGTCTGACCTGTGTCTGGAGCTGACCGGTGTCAGGCCCGTGTCTGGGGCTGACTGGTGTCAGGCCCGTGTGAGGAGCTGACCCATGTCTTGTCCGTCTTCGCCCCTGCAGCGGCCATGGCGCCCCGGAAGGACCAGGTGGAGCGGCTGGCCTGGCAATGGGCCGAGACCACCGCGCCGGAGGACATCTCTCACGAGCACGTGCTGACCGCCTACATCCTGCAGCCGGCGCACAGCCGCAAGACCGCCTGCAAGTCAGTGACACGGCCTGTGACCTCCGTCTGGGCGGAATAGGAGCACGGGCCGATGACGCCTTGTCGGGCGAGCTTTGGGTACTAGCGGAAAACCCCGACTTGTGGGTTGTGTTCGGGTCAATAGTTTTGTTCAGAGTTTTTGGCATACTTTCAAGTGCTCGCTGGCTTTATTCGAATTTTGTTTCTATTTGATTTTGATCTTTAACATTCTATTTATATATCAGTTTTGTTGGAGCATTTCTATTTGATTTTTGATGTTTGACATTCTGTATATATATCGGTTTTATTGGAGCATTCGATTTGTCTCCCCGCGGGCCGATACTAGAGGTAAGCTTGGGTGATTTCCACCTCACGGCGACCCATAATTTGGGGACGGCGGCGTCTGGCGCAGGTGCGACGAGCCAGCCGGGTCGTCCGGTGCGCCCGCCGTCTGCGGCGCACCTCCGTGGTGCACGAGCCGCGGCCGGGGTGCGCCAACCCCGGCGCGCACCGGGGTTGGCTTTCGTATGGCCGGTGGTACGGCCACGGCGGCCACCTGGTCCTCGCTATGCGGGGAGTTCCTCTGAGCGGAACGCATGTCAGCAGTGGGAGCAAGGCCTGCTGATCATCTGCTGTCTGATGTGCTGTGGTACCCCGATCTCAGTGAGGCGGATGTACGAGTTAGCTGCGAGTGTATTGTATTGGTGTATCATTTTGATGGTTGTGCACTGGGCAGTACATTGAGTGCATATTAGGACAGGTCTAGTGGAATGTCATGCATCAGTCCCACTAAGTTTTTCAGTTGATGTTTGACCAGGCGTATGTTTTGTTGTAACCTGATAAATTAGTTTGAACTAACACGTTTCTCTGAGAGCACTAGTATCGTTCTATTCGGCTAAGCTTAGCGAGCACATGGCCAGCGTACCGGCCGCCGTCCTCGCCGGTGTGTTGACGGTGGCGCCGCGGTGCGGCCCACAGGAAGAACTGCCGGCACCAGCCGCTGTGCGTGTCGGGCCTGGGCGAGCACGAGTGGCTGCACGGCGGCGACGCGACGCGCCTGTACGCGGGCGCCGAGCCCGAGCCGGACGTGCGGCCGGCGCACCAGCCGGCCGGCCTCAAGAACCTTGGCGCCACCTGCTACGTCAACAGCCTGCTGCAGCTGTGGTTCCACAACAGGCGCTTCAGGTGGGCGGCTGCCGGCGAGGTCGGGCGTGGCCGGGACGCGGGGTCCGGCTGGCGACAGCGCCTGCAGCTCCGAGGCTCCAGCTGACGATGAACGGCACCCGTACCCGTGCGCCGTCCGGTGTTGATCACTGCGTGTCCAGGCCCACAGCCGTGCCGAGATGGTCTTAAGGTGTTCTCTGTCGAACTGACAGCTGACAGCTGAAGCTGCAGTCATGGCTGCGGTATTTATGCTATGTGGATTGCATTACCCCGTGAGTGTGGTCGATCTACTGCTTCCGCGGCCGTGTCGGCCGCCGATGCGGGCCGCGCCACGTGTCTGCGTGTCAGCTGACCGTCGTCCCCGCCCGCGGCCAGGAGGGCGGTGCTGCAGTGGGAGCCGTACGCCGACCCGCTGGAGCGGCTGAACGAGACGCTGCTGACCGAACGCTACGTGCCGATGACAGCCCATCGGCCACCTGCAGCTCATCTTCGGATATATGCATGGCGGTCTGTTGCGGTCAGTGCACAGCGCCGCCCCCCCCCCCCCCCCCCCCCCCAGCACCACCCGCCAACCCTCCCGCCGGCGCCGCGGGCCGATCTCTTCCCAAAGTAACTCATTTCCGATGGGTGGCACTGGTGACTTTCGGCCCTGGGCTTTGGCAAAGTTTGCCGTACATGCCCGCAGCCCACCGTCTAAGTTCCGCTTTTCTGGTTGAGCTCTTCGGACAAGTTCGCCGCCGAGCTTTTTCCGTCCTGACACATCTGCGAAGGGACTGTTTGTGTGTCGGGCAGTGCTACAACGCAGTCGCTCTGTAACCGGCCGACCCTGGGTGGGCTAGTTGCCAGCTGACCTTTCCATGTCGGCGGGACACACGCTTTGTCTCCGGGATCTCACCCGTCGCCGCCTGGAACCCAGCACGTCCCCTGAGCACGGACGCGCCGACGCTCTCGACAGATCGCAACGTCGGCTCAGTACCGGGACCCGATGTGCCGCAGGACGGTGGACCCGTCACCGTTCATACTGGCGCTCCGGCTGGACACGATGTACCAGCAGGACGCGCAGGAGTTCAGCAAGCTGTTCAGCACGCTATTGGAGGAGGGTCTGTCGCACCAGAGCCGGCCCGAGATTAGCGGAGCGGTGCAGGACCTGATGCGGGGACAGTACCAGTACGTCACCAGGTGAGCAGTTGGTGTGGGGACAGTACCAGTACGTCGCCAGATGAGCAGCTGGTGTGGGGACGGTACCAGTATGTCATCAGCTGAGCAGCTGGTGTAGGGACGGTACCAGTATGTCACCAGGTCAGCAGTTGGTGTGGGAACAGTACCAGTTTGTCGGTGTGTCAAATTCCTGTCCGCCATCGGCAGGTGATGACGGGGTTTTGTTTCGGCATTTTATGTTCTCCACTGGTTCCGCTTATGGTATGAGAACTGTTCTCAGCCGCGGTACCGTTTTTGGCATCGTGTGCTGAAAGTGCCAGACGTCTGCGATGGGGAGCTCATTATGTCCGAATGATAACGCGTAGTTGTACATAATTTTATGGCGCGAATAGCCATATTCCGTCGTGGCGACGTTCTGTATCATTTGAGCTTTATTGCGGGCCATGGCGTAGAAACGACTGTTGCGCGCCGTTTTCAGATGCAATGAGTGCCTGCAAGAGTCCACTTGCCCGTCATATTTCTACGAGCTAGACCTGCAGATCCAGGGACAGAAACAGCTGTCGGACTGCCTGGCCGAGTTCCTCCGGGAGGAGAGTCTAACGGGAGCTAATCAGGTGAGAGACTGTGGTCAGTGACCAATCAGGTGAGAGAGAATGTGGCCAGTGACCAATCAGGTAAGAGTTAACGGGATTGAGCCCGTGTGCCGGAAAGCTCTGTGAGAAGGGCTGCAGGTCAGAGTATCATGACAGGGGTGAATGGTGAGCACTGATTGGGGGATGAAAAACAAATTATGTTGAGCGTCGCACTCCTGGCCAATGACATGGGAAGACGTGAATTGGTTCATGCAAGCAAAGCTGTTCTACACCTGTTTGCGATTGTTTGCTGGCAGTACGTGTCGGCCTTGAAGCGATGAAAGCCCATGACGGCGCTCAGCTTCCAGTCATGCTCTGACCGGGCGGTGACTGAGCTGTGTTGTCCGGCTCCCCTCTCGTTCCCAGTACTACTGTCAGGCGTGCCAGGCCAAGCGAGACGCGTCGCGCGCCATCCAGCTCACCTCGTTGCCGCCCGTGCTCCAGCTGCAGCTGATGCGCTTCGTGTTCGACCGGTACGCCCTCGGCCCTCCCCAGGGCCATCCCCGCCCTCTCCCTGCCATCCCGACCCTCCCCGCCCCCTCCCCGGTCATCCTCCGATCCTCTCATGTCCTCCCTGGGTCATCCCCCGGCCATCAGCGCCCTCCCCTGTCATACCTCGACCGTACCCGGCCCTCCCCGGCCATCCCCCAGCCCTCCCCGCCCATCCGCGGCCATCCCTCGGCCCTCCCTGGTCCTCTCCGGCCTTCCCCCATCCCCCGGCTCTCCTCGGCCTTCCCCCGACCCACCCCGGCAATCGCCGGCCAGCCCTCGGCAATCACCGGCCATCCCGTGAGCTGTGCTAACTGCAATGCGCAGCGTTCGCAGGAATGCATGCTTGCACATCTCGTTCAGTTCACCTTGTTACAGGCTTGTTTGAAAGATGCTTCATTTCTTCGTGTTCCCCCTTATTTCTCGTCACCAAACTGACGTCAGCGGCCGCGTAGCTGCCGGCGTTCCGGGCCTGCTATGCCCCTTACCTGCACGCGTAGGACCGAACTACTGTGCTACCGTGTTGGGTCGGCTGGGGCCGCGCTCCTGGCGGCGCCTCTAACGTCCTCCGCCTTCGGACACAGCGAGACGGGCCTGAAGAAAAAGCTGTCGTCGCACCTGCGCTTCCCGGAGTTGCTGGACGTGTCCGAGTACGTGCGGCAGCCGGCCGGCGCCGTCACCTACCGGCTACAGGCCGTGCTGCTGCACAAGGGACCGTCCGCCTACTCCGGACACTACACAGGTGCGGTACGACGGGTGGCCCGCACATCACACTGCACAGCCGGGCGGTACGACGGGTGGCCCGCACATCGCACTGCACAGCCAGGCGGTACAGCCGGCGGTCTGCACATCACACTGCACAGCCGGGCGGTACGGCCGGCGGTCCGCACACCACACCGCACAGCCGGGCGGTACGGCGGGTTGCCCGCACATCACACTGCACAGCCGGGCGGTACGGCCGGCGGCCCGCACACCACACTGCACAGCCGGGCGGTACGGCCGGCGGTCCGCACACCACACTGCACAGCCGGGCGGTACGGCCGGCGGTCCGCACACCACACTGCACAGCCGGGCGGTACGGCCGACGGTCCGCACACCACACCGCACAGCCGGGCGGTACGGCCGGCGGCCCGCACACCACACTGCACAGCCGGGCGGTACGGCGAGCGGTCCGCACACTATACAGCTGTGTGGCGGCGGCGAAAAACTAGTCGGGGCTTTGCGGAGAAACAGGGGCGTGTTCATACGGGCTTGCGTTGTGGTTTATTCTTATTGACATTGTAGGCCGTCCACTTATGCGGACAATCATCCGAGATTGTCCTGCGACCAAGCGCTGTGCAAGCACAAAGGACGGATACTTTCGCTGTACCTGTAAGGTGCGTACACGAGACACTCAAGCACTCGTTGTGTATATGAATGTCCATACTCACACGCTCATCACAGATATGGGCCATCTCTCTGAAACAGACTAGTACATACCACGGCGTCTGCTGTAGCTGTCAGACCTGTGCATAATGTTCTGCACCGCGCCGCGACCGAGAGATGCGTCCGAGTAATGCGCCGTGTACGCCTCCTCTTCTCCAGCTCACATCTGCGATGGCGAGACGGGGGCCTGGTTCCGCTTCAACGACGAGGAGGTGGAGAAGATCAAAACACTGAAGCTGACCACCGAGGACGAGCTGGAAGGTGAGCCGGGGTCGGCCAGACGGGCCCGACGGCGGGGCGCCATCATCGGGATTTGGCGACGCGCTCAGCTGCTGGGGCTGGGCGACGTTGTCTGCCTCTCACCCTGGCGGGAGGGGTGGGCACCAAATCGAACCCCGTGCCTCTGGTTTCCCAGACGCCGAGTGGTTCTGGCGGTGGACCAGTATGTTACAAGTTGCCTTGACGGTGGGTCACGGTCTGTCTTGTTATGGGCACCAGGCCAGGACATGTCGGATGCACCTGATGGTGGGTCAAAACCTGCCCGCATTACCAGAAGGCGGTCAGCATTAGTCGATGCAGCTACTGGTAAATGGTCAGCTAATGCAGCAGAGGAAGCTGCTATACTAGCGTATCGTATAGGTCTGTGTTTCGGTTCGGAGCGTGAATATATGAAGGTATCCGTGGTGCAGCCGCATGGCACTGTTCCCCATGTTATTTGAAGGTTGTGTGCTCTGTTCGACATGTTCATTGCGTGATTACAGATGCGTGGTGCGGTTATGGGTAGTACATAGACTAGCGAGACGACTTGCAATGCGCCATTTCGGCTCACGTGTTTGGGCTGTCAGAAAAGATCATGTGTCAAGCTATCTGCCTTGGTATATCGTTTCACCCGCCCGCCCTGCTTTGCGCCAGACGTGGCCAAGAAGCCGAAGCAGTCCCGCTGCCCCAAGGGCTACCACTCGTCGAACCAGGCGTACATGCTGGTGTACGGCCGCGTGACGGGGGCGGCGCCGGCGCCGGCAGACGGCGCGGCCCAGCTGACGCTGCCGGACCACATCCAGACCATGGTCAACGCCATGAACGCTACCGTCAACGACCAGGTGTTGATGAACGAACAGGCCAAGGTGAGCGGCGGGAATGCGGTCCGCGGGGAGGCCGGGGCCGGCCGAGACTGCAGGCGCCGCAGCCAAACCGGGCACCGGTGGCGAACGCTGAGAATTTGGGGTGAGCCAGAGCGACCGAGAGGAAAAACGACGAGAGCGACCGAGTAGATCAAAAGGGCGGTCATGTGTGAAGGACCAGCAGGCCGATGGGGAATTGTGGGGTTATCTGCTGGGAGACGTACACATTTGTTTGGGTCACCATGTGGATGACTCGTAAACATACAGGAGTGCAGCCCGTCCCCTTTGGCGATCCACGGGTAGGGGCTTGTCATTGCGTTGAAGTCTTCCTTTCATTGGTTTAGCATGCGGAGGTGACTGATGCAGAGCGTCCGCGTGTAAACGGACACCTATTACTAGGGAATTGGCTGTCTTTAAGCCTACCAGGGCCTTGCTTTGTAACCATCGAAGTGAGCATGTTTAGGAAGGTAGATAAGACGGAAGTATTAGCCTTATTCCTCGGGAAAAACCGGGAGAATGGAGATATAGTTGGGTTGATATTTCGGAAACATGCCTTTATCGAAACAAGAGATGAAGTGAATTCAAAAGTGCCTGCCGATGATCCTACTCGATTTTTCAGTTTTCTTTAAAAGCAAGACAATTTTTATAGGACACCAACATTCAGGGGCTAAAAAAACGGCGATTGCCAGCCATTACCACGATACATTGTCTATCTAAGAATTAGAATGGGTACGGTTTGCATGTACACGTATGTTCGCGCATTCTAATTCTGAGATAGGCACTGTATCGTGGTAATGGCTGGCAATCACCCTTTGTTTAATCCGTGGGATGTTGGTTTCCTGTAAAAACTGTGGCTTGCTGTTCCAAAAAAAACCTGAAAAATCGAGTAAAAATCGGCAGGCAATTTTGAATTCACTTCAGCTATTGTTTCGAGAAAGGCATGCTGCCGAAATATTAACCCAACTATATCTCCATTCTCTTGGCTTTTCTTCGAGGAATAAGGCTAATGCTACTGTCTTATCTATGTGAATGATGTTCCCCGCTAATGCACCGAACAAATTACGTGTTTAGGAGCGTTGAAATGGTCACGGGGTTATTTGGGAAACCCCATATTTTGAACAGATAATGGCTTCAGTGAGTGGGGCTATGCGCCTATGCAGTTATCTTCGTCCCCATTTGACCCGGTCTTCGGGCACAGCGTGTTCAATTTGAAAACGGCTCGGGAAAGACATGGCATTGGCGGGTCTCCGTCCCACCATTGGCACACCTTTAGGCCGGGCACTGTCGGTGTTTGTTGACGGTATCCCTGCCTGCAATGTAAAGCTGGTGCCGTCTGCCCGCCTGGTGCGGTAACCGAGACCCCTGGGTGATTGGGGTTTTCGGGCGCGTCGACTGCTGGGCTCAACTGCACGGCAGTGCGATTGAGGATGGGAAAGGGGTGAGCCTGTCACCCGCACTGGCCGGGGCGGACCTGCTGCCGAGGCGGCGTAATACCGAGCCGACGGTAAACCTTGCTCATTCCGCTGCCTCGCTCGCAGTCAGCAACGTTGGAGTGTTGTGTATAATTACTGCGTGTAATGCTGCGATTTTTTGAAGCGTTATAACAGCGAAGCGGAGTCCCTGTCACCCGTGCACGTGACGGCTAGGTGGAGTCCCTGTCGTCTGTGCACGTGACGGCAAGGTGGAGTCCCTGTCGTCCGTGCACGTGACGGCGAGGTGGAGTCCCTGTCGTCCGTGCACGTGATGGCGAGGTGGAGTCCCTGCCTCGGCGGCGGACTCCTCGCCTTGTCCCATACCCTGTCTGTGAAGGCACACGGTCGTGATGAGCGCGTGCGGTGCTGTGCTGCCACTCTCTCCGTGACACGCTCCGGCAGGCACACTCTCTAGACACACTCTGTGTGTCGCGGATGTGTCTATGACGCAGCCGCGATGCAGAGTGTGTCGGTCTGCTGCAAAGTGTGTCGGTCTGTTGCAGAGTGTGTCGGTCTGTTACAGAGTGTCTCGGTCTGCTGCAAAGTGTCTCGGTCTGTTGCAGAGTGTCTTGGTCTGTGGTAGAGATTTTCGGGTTGTTGCAAAGTGTCTCGGTCTGTTGTAGAGTGTGTTTGTCTGCTGCAAAGTGTCTCGGTCTGTTGCAGAATGTCTCGGTCCGTGGTGGAGCGTCTCGATCTGTTGCAAAGTGTCTCAGTTTGTGGCAGAGTGTGTCGATCTGTGGCAGAGTGTCTCGGTTTGTGGCAGAGTGTCTCGGTCTGTTGTAGAGTGTCTCGGCAGATGAGTACCGGTGTCCCGGTCTGTTACAGAGTGTGTCGGTCTGTTGCAGAGTGTCTCGGTCTGTTGCAGAGTGTCTCGGCAGAGGAGTACCGGTGCCGCGAGCGCGAGGTGCGCGAGATCTATCCGCGCCTGGCTTGCCTGGACGTGCGCCGTGGTCTGCTGCTGCTGCCGGCCGCCTGGCTGGCCGCCTGGCTGGCCGGCGAACCGCCCGGCCCCGTCGCCACCGACCCCCTGCACTGTCCGCACGGCAAGCTGTCGCCCTGGCACGCTGCCAAGACCAAGTGTGTCGACCCGGCCGCGGTGAGGGCGCCACCTCTGCCGCCGGCGGCCAGCGGGCCACGTCCGGAGCTGCCTGGGGCGCCGCTGAGGGGTGCTGCTGGGAACAGCGGGCCACGTCCGGAGCTGCCTGGGGCGCCGAGGCACTCAGGGCGCCGCTGAGGGGTGCTTCTGGGAACAGCGTGTTTGCCGTCCGTTGTTTTGGGTGATGCACGAGATGCTGGAGGTGTGGTCATTCGTAACATGTTGGTATCAGTGCCCACCGCTCTAATCCTAATCTCCTTGGCGTCGTGCTGTTCACTACGAGTGAGAGTGATGTGTGCCTTAATGACGGCCGAATCGGCCCGCGTACCGCACGGGCCAGCCGCGGTCGATGCTGAGCTGCGTGCCGGTCGCTCCGACAGGGCGCGCTGCTGACCTGCCTTTACGGCGGGAGCGGGCTGGACGGCTCGGCCCTGTGCCGCGAGTGCGTGCAGAGCCGGTGCCGCGCCATCCGAGCCAAGCAGACGCTGGAGGAGGACGTGCGGCTCGTGACGGCTCTGCTCCGCGACGATCTCGCACCGTCAGTAGCGCCCCCTTGCCTCGCAGTACTGCACACATGTATATCCTTGTGTCGCAGTGCTGTGCTGCAGCAATCACACGTCTGCTAGCGGAGGAATGGTGTAGCATGACTGACCTAAGGTGGCGATATCCCCAACACGGGTCTCAGACGCTTAGCCTGTGATACAGATGGCTGCGATAAAAGGCGGCGCTGTCGGCGTGTTGCCACGATTGTGTTTGTCCGCGGCGTGGACGAGCTGCGCCGTCTGACTGAGCCAGCCCGCCCGGTCTCCGTTGGCCCATACTGACCCCTGATGACCCCCGTTGACCCCCGCTGACCTGCGCGGCTCCGCTTGGCCGGCAGTGACGAGCCGGCCTTCTGGGTGGGCAAGACGACGCTGCGAATCTGGAAGCGACTGGCGCTGGTGGCGCTGCCGCAGGACGCGCCGCCGGGCGCCGCCAGTGACACATCTGGGCCCACCAGTCCGGCGACGCGACCCGAGCAGCCGGCCAGCGCCGCCGGCGACCAGCCGACGCACGACGGCACCAACGGCACCGACGGTACCAACGGCACTGACGGCACCTGCGCCGCCGGCAAGGACGGAATCGGGTCCGACTCGCGGCCGTCGACGGTGGCGGAGGTGGCGGCGGCGCCGGCTCCGGGTCCGGCGCCTGCTCGAGCGCCGGAGGCGGAGGGCGCGCCGCCGGCGGCGTCACCGGTGGCCGGCGGCTCGGCGGCGGGGGGCGCGCCGAGCAGCGCCGGGGGCGCCGCCGCGCGCCTTCGGCGGCCGTCGGCGGGCCGCACCAACGGTCTGTCGACGGAGACGGACAGCGACGGCGCAGGCCGCGCCCACGGCCCCAGCACCGAGACGGACGACACGTCGGCGGCCGAGGACGAGGACGAGGACGAGGACGAGGAGTTCAACGGCGACGTGCGCTGTGCTCACGGTGAGCGGGGGGCCGGGGTGGGCGGGCTGGCGAGCGGCGTCGCGATGACCGGGCCGGAACATCCGCGACGCAGGAATCACCGCAGTGCGGCTCGCCACATCCGTACGGGCGATCGTGGCGTCGTATTTGCCTGACGAGGTTCGCATGCTTTGTGGGCTGAAGACCAGTTTGTCAAACGACCGATGCGCTGAGCACCTGGCGCATTGTTATGACGGGAGATATTAAGCACCTGATTCATGGGCCTCGAACTACTGAGGCGCGTGACGTGGTAGTTGATTTGGTTAAACCGTTGAACAGTTTCAAGCGGCCGAGCGTTCTCGCCTCTGTTTTGGGCTGAACGCTGTCGGCTCGATTGGCACCGTTAGCAGCTTCAGAATGGACGTGTTTACCGTCATGCTCTGGATGACGTCACATGACCATGTGACGTCATCTACCTTGGTGTGGCGTCACGCCGACGGTGAGGCGGTTTTCTGGCAGGGGAGCTATGTGTGGAGGAGGGCACCAGGCGACTCGTGCCAGAAGCCGCCTGGCACATCATGACCAAGTACTTTCCGGACGCCAGGAGCTACGGGCGACACCGCCCCCTCTGCGCCCAGTGCAGGGTAAGCGGGCGGTCGCCGCCGGCCGCGCGCCACAGCTGATCGGCGGTCGAGTGCTCGTCAGGTCATTTCACGTGGGATTCGTGGCCGAAGGTGTTTTAATCAAGGCCGATATGACATTGATGACAAGCGGCTTGAGGCCGATCTCCCTGTGTCCTGCCGCACCTGTGCTCCTGTCTGGTGCGGTGCTCCGGCTCAGCCGATATGTGACGTCACCGGTCGGCCGTGACACGCGGCCCCGCTGATAGGCGTGTGACCCGGGCCGTGCAGGAGCAGGTGTCGGAGGAGGAGCAGATGCGGCAGCTGTACCGCCAGCTCGCCGCCGAGCAGCGCGCCGCCCTGGGCGACCTCTACAGCGACCGGCTGCGGCCCCAGGTGGCAGCACCGACCTGCTCGCCCGGCCGCTACCACGCCATCGGCCGGCACTCGACCGAACTGTGGCGCAAGTTCGTCAGGTCAGCGCCAGCACGGCCTCAGTGCCGGCCGCTCAGTACCGGCCGCCGCACGCCTTGTGTGGGTGCATGCTTGGGTGTTCTTACGGGCGTATGGTCACCTCGCGAGTCTCTCGAGTTTGTGCTGGCCGTGGAGCAGGTCGTGAGTGCTGTGCCGCTGGTCCGGGGCGACAGTGTGGCGCGCCGCTGGTCTCGGGCGGAGGAGGCGGCAGGTAACTGGGGAACTCTGACCTCTGATCACTACGTACCCGCCGTCAGTTTGACGGTGTCGGACTGGGTCAGACTCCGGCCACTCCTGATCCCGGCCGCTCCTGATCCTGGCCGCTCCAGACGCCGGCCGCTCCAGACCCCGGCCGCTCCAGATCCTGGCCGCTCCAGAACCCGGCCGCTCCAGATTCCGGCCGCTCCAGACGCCGGCCGCTCCCGATTCCGGCCGCTCCTGGTCCCGGCCGCTCCAGACCCCGGCCGCTCCTGACCGGAGTCACCATGAGTCCGTCTGCCATCGCCAAACGCCCGTCCGCTGGGCGATGGCAGACCAGCCGCTTACCAGCCTCCAGCGCGCCTCCGCGCTGGAGGCTGCTGCCAGCGCTGCCCGCTGTGCGGTGTCCGTTGTCGCCGAGGCGGACGGTTTCCAGCGCGCGGCCTGCCACCTGGTGGCGGGTGGGGTGTCTCCAGCGGCAGCGGCTCGTGCCCCAGTGCAGGAACGCGGCCCTCTGGTGTGGAGGGAGGTCTGAGCGCACAACTCCTGGGCGCCAGTCTCGAGTGCCTGTGCGCTCTTTTGTGCACCACGTCGACGACAGAATTCATGCTCGTCAGACGTCCAGATTACCGCACCGACCGTTGTCGCTGCCGCCGTGCGAGAGTCACCGCCCCGCTGCACCATCGGCGGGGCGGTGGTGTGGCCGCCGGTGCTGGGAGGGCGGCGTTGGAGCTGGGCTCCGCTGACTCCGGTGGTGCGGCCGCCGGTGCTGGAGGGCGGCGTTGGAGCTGGGCTCCGCTGACTCCGGTGGTGCGGACGCCGGTGCTGGGAGGGTGGCGTTGGAGCCGGGCTCCGCTGACTCCGTGGTCCGGACGCCGGTGCTGGGAGGGCGGCGTTACAGCCGGGCTCCGCTGACTCCGATGGCCCGGCCGCCGGTGCTGGGAGGGCGGCGTTGGAGCTGGGCTCCGCTGACTCCGGTGGTCCGGCCGCCGGTGCTGGGAGGGCGGCGTTACAGCCGGGCTCCGCTGACTCCGTGGTGCGGACGCCGGTGCTGGGAGGGCGGCGTTACAGTCGGTTCCGCTGACTCCGGTGGTCCGGCCGCCGGTGCTGGGAGGGCGGTGTTACAGCCGGGCTCCGCTGACTCCGGTGGTGCGGACGCCGTGCTGGGAGGGCGGCGTTACAGTCGGCTCCGCTGACTCCGGTGGTCCGGCCGCCGGTGCTGGGAGGGCGGTGTTACAGCCGGGCTCCGCCGACTCCGGTGGTGCGGACGCCGGTGCTAGGAGGGCGGCGTTACAGCCGGGCTCCGCTGACTCCGGTGGCCCGGCCGCCGGTGCTGGGAGGGCGGCGTTGGAGCCGGGCTCCGCTGACTCCGGTGGTCCGGTCGCCGGTGCTGGGAGGGCGGCGTTACAGCCGGGCTCCGCTGACCCCGGTGGCCCGGCCGCCGGGCTGGGAGGGCGGCGTTACGCCGGCTCCGCTGACTCCGGTGGACGGACGGCATGATGGGGCACCTCCGGCTCCGGTGGTCCGGCCGCCGGTGCTGGGAGGGCGGCGTTACAGCCGGGCTCCGCTGACTCCGGTGGACGGACGGTATGATGGGGGACCTCCGGCTCCGGTGGTCCGGCCACCGGTGCTGGGAGGGTGGCGTTACAGCCGGGCTCCGCTGACTCCGGTGGACGGACGGCATGATGGGGCACCTCCGGCTCCAGTGGTCCGGCCACCGGTGCTGAGAGGGCGGGGTTACAGCCGGGCTGCGCTGACTCGGGGGGACGGACGGCATGATGGGGCACCTCCGGCTCCGGTGTGACCGGCTGTGGTTGAACCACTGCGCCGCTTCATGGCACGCGGCGCTCAGCGGCGCTCAGAAAGTCGGGTCGTTGAACCCCGGACCGTGTCAGTGTGTGGAGCATAGCGAGGGATGACTAAGCAGTCGGCCAAGTTTCTTTGATATGCGACCAAGCTGTGAATATTGCAAGTAACGGCTGGGGCTTAAGGACTCCCCCGACATCGCACGTCCTTTGTGATCCCAGAGGAGACTGATACAAAAATCAGACATTTTGAAGCATCTCGGTGTGTTGAGGATGTTCGTTGCTTCAAACGGTTTGGACGCGGTTATATTCATTGAAGTCTCGTAGGCACCAGTTGGACCCGCGTTTGTTATTGCCTTTGGGTTGTCTTACGTAGAGGAGAGGGGGTCTGGGGTATCCCACTGAATTCAAATTCGGTTACGTGAGGCAGCGAATCATTACACGCGCCGCTATTGACGGCAAGTTTGAGCGGCGTCCCTCTGGCTCTCCGGCTACAGCTTCTAAACTGTGATGCAGACTCCAGCACTTCACGGCTTCTCAGTTTGTTTGTTTCTGCATGCGATTAAGGTGTCTTTATTTAAAGACCCCACCGCTGTCCATGAAGATTGTGATGGGTTCCTATGAGAGCGTGTTGAAGGAATGCCATGCATTTTGTTAAGCGTTAAGTCATTGTGAAACTGATCGTGCAGTGGCGGCAGATTTTGTTTACTTTTCAGGCCACGTGTTGCGACGATATGGGGTGACACCTATGAACGGCCTGACGATGACAGTAGCGGAACAATGAATAAAGAAGCTGGCGGCACAGCCTTACTTATAGTGTAATTTTATAAATAAAGTGATGTTGAAATGGATAAATTGATGTGGTTTGAACGAAGCTCGCGCAGTTATGTCACCTTTTTAAAGACTATACATGATCACGAATAAACGAAAAAATGGCGTTTGATAGGGATAAGTTTTACTGATTGAAAATATGTTATCTGTGAGATATACTTATCTTTACTTCCAAGAACAGCCCTTATGTTTCGGAAATTTTCAGAACTCGGAAGTCCTTTGTTTTATTTTAGAATGTTTGTTGTGAGACATATTTCGGAACATATTCAGCGTTTTCCAATCACACTGCCCGAATCCGAGCATAATATTGTGATTCAACGGCAAAAATCAGACATTGCGTTTCTAATAGTTAGCATTTTTCCGGGGCCAGCGCCCTTGCAGCCGTTTCAGCTCGTTGAGTGGCGGAGTAGGCCGCACTAGTTCGGTGAGAGCACTCGCGATACCAGCCGTCGAACAGACCCTCAGCCGACGGGGTGAGCTGGAAGGCCCCGTGCTAGTCAGGGCCCTACCAGAGAGACGCAAGAACAGTATTGATTAGATGATGGTTTGATGACGCTGTTGAGGCCTCCGCGTTATCGATGCGTGTCAAACTTTGTGATCCCGAAGTGCCGGTATCTTTCGCATTTAGCGGCGTGAATGTTATCTAGCTGCATCAAAAGCATGGTGTCTATATGAAAATATCGAAATGCGGACTAGCAGGTGGACGTGCAAGCAGTAGCATTCCAGGCTCGAAGCCAGTAATGAACTGCCATCTTCTTTAAAAAATCCAAAAGGCCTTGGCGGGTGGCTTTGGGCCGTGCTTCCCGCGCCTAACTTTCTACCTATGTGCTGAACCACCGCCGAAGCTATTTTGTTCCAGTTCACTGGATGCGCGCTGGCTTTGACGGTTGGTGGAATCCAATAGAGCCGCGGCTGCGCTCCGAGGTCTGAATCGTTTGTGACGCCCTGGTGCGCTAGTGACGTTGTCAAGACATGATACTTGGATACCCAGACAACCTTGTTCTGAAAGTTTGGAAGTCTGATCCATGAATGTGTGATGTGAATGATGTCTGATGTCTGTCTGTCGGATTCATGTCTGTCTGTCTGACGAATGTCTGGATATCTGGATGATCTGTCGAGTGACGGACGGGTTCCCTGAAGATACCTTGAATATTTCAACAATAGCGCTCATTAGTAACCATCCAGGTTAAAGGGAATGTTTCGCATTTGAAGGTATTGATCCATAGATGCCAATATCACTATTGGCGTGCTTCATGAGTGGAAAAAGACTGCTCCGTACAGCACAATTCTGTGTTTGTTAACATGTTCCTCAATTCGTTATGGTTTCATTACGTCATCACGCCTCGCACAACATTGATTGAGAGTCAATTGACGGCTATTATATCTGGAATTCGTGCTCACGAACGCCAGATATAAACGCCTCGGCAATTATATTTTTATTGGCCTTGCTCGCCGCATAGTTGAAGGATTGGCAGGATTTGGATGACGTTATCATGACGCCATAAATGCCTAGGTAACTTTGAAATATTCTCCTCGATTGATCTTCCCATTTTCGCGGACGTGTAGTAGCTCCGAAAGCTGGAGGGGCTTGGGCCTTAAGAATGGCAATATTGTGAACAGCACCGAGAGGTCTTCAAGATGGGTATTTCAGTTCAAAACCCGTATGTAAATGTGGAACACTCCCTTGAATAACAATTACTATCAACCAGTAAGTTCGAGACTGCTCTCAGACTCTGAGAGATGACCGGCGGGTGGCCTCGCCGCAGTGCTCCGGTGAGCTGGAGACGCTCCAGCCCGCTCGCTGCGAGTAGGTGACGTCATCCCACTGCCGGCTCGATGTGGGTCTGGTGACGTCAGAGGCTCACCGCCGGCTCGGCTCGGCTCGACTCGGCTCTCGGGTCTGATGACGTCAGAGGTTCGCCGCCGGCTCGGGATGGCTTGGGTCTGATGACGCCAGAGCCTCACCGCTGGCTGGGGTCGGTTCGGATCGGATCTAATGACGTCAGAGGCTCGCCGCCGGCTCGGCTGGGCTGGTCTCGGTGCGGTGCCATTGTACGGCAGCCGGCTCATCAGTGGCCGCCTCAGTGAGAGCGCCGCCGTCCGGCCGCCGGCCGGAATTCCGCCTTTCAGTCGGGGCTGTGTGGCGGCTGTTTTTGCTGGGGCCGCGCAGCCGGGCGTGTCGCGCTGCCCACTGCCCGCTGCCCGCCGGGGCCGCTCCCTGGATGCTGCATCATTGTCACTCGGGCCGGCGTTTTTATCCGCCGGTCTCTCATCCATCTTGCTCTTCTTTTATTTGCGCTCGCCCATTCTTCTCCCCGTTTTTCGCGTGTGCCGCTTTGATAAATCACTTTTTAATTGGGGCCGCCTGCAGGAATTGTCGGCCGCTGTGTCGGACTGAGGGTGCGGTGGCCGGCAGCCGGCCGGCCGGCGGCCGGCCGGCGCGGGCACCTGTTCGCCTCCGGCGGCCGGGCCGGGGCCGTCACCAGAGACTGCAGGCCGCAGACTCGCTGAAGACGGCGGACGCCCACTGAGCCGCCTCCACAGCGGCCGCCGCCGCCGCCGACGCCAACGGTCCTGGCACGGGCCTCTCGTGGTCAGACCGCGCTGGCCTCACCGCCGCACGGAGCGCCGTCTGGGCCCGTCTGGGGCGTAGGCCGAAGGTCTTGACGTCGGCGCACGGCTAGCCGTTTGGCTTAGGCGAAATCGGCCGTTTGTGCCGGGCACGGCAAGGGATGTGTCTACCGTTGCTCTCTCCCTCTCCACTGCACACTGCTGTGTACACGAGTGACATTGACGCGTCCATGTACTGCGCCCGCAGTGTTAGACCCGCAGAAGCCACATGCTTGGGTCCATCTAATGCTCCATGCAGTGCGTTGAATTCTACAAGGAGTCATTGAATGCGTGCTATTGAAGACTCGCGCACGGAAGGCTTATTTTGGCTCAAAAAGCTCATTTTGAATAGCCGAGGTCCATCGCGTTATCCAGAACTTGCCCTGGTCCTTATGCGCTTGCTTGCATTGACTTCTCATTCGGTACGCACGTGGAAGCGGCCGCTGTGGTCCCAAACCAACTGCGTTCGCCACATCATCTCCGTTGGCGCGGTTGAGCCGCGGCCGGGCAGCATTTCTGCACATCAGCCTTCCCTCGCAAGAACGTGTCGTGCCAGCGAGCCGAGAGCCGTCTGCTGGGGGCGAGACCGGGCGGGGCGAGGTCGGGCCGCCGCGGCCGTCTCCGGACGCGGCGGCTGCGACCCGCGGCCGGCCGTGCCGCGGCGCTCGGCGGCCCGTGCCGAGCCGCCGCCGGACCGGCCCATTGTCCGCAGTTGATCTGGGAGCGCGGCCGCGGCTGTATTGGCGCGCGCCGGCCGCCCCGCTCGCCGCCGCGCCGGTGGGAACGCCGGCCTGCCGCTGAGCACAACGGCCGCCGAGGGGCTGTTTCTTGAGGCGGCCGCTCGTAAAAATAACGGCCGCCAATTTTCTTTCCCTCTTATTGCCCGCCGAAGAAATGCTTGAAATACGACGCCGACAACCGGAATTTAAACAGGCGGGCCCGGTTAATGAAGACAGCCGTTTGCGGATGTCTTGCTAGCGGGGAGGGCTCTGGACTGGGGCGGCCGACGCCCGACCGGGCCGTGACGTCACGCGCTGTGACGTCACGTGCCGGCTCTGAGAGTGGGGCTCGGAGCGGGGAGTGGCAGCCGCGCCTGGAGGCTGTACTGAGTCGAGGGCGGCGAACGGAGCACGGGGCGCCCGGCCGCTCAGGTGCCGCCGAAACATGGCGCGCGTGCAGCTGAGCGCTCGCTCCGTCACATGACCACCGGATATGGCCAGGCATCCACCGTCACATGGCCACCGGATATGGCCAGGCATCCACCGTCACATGGCCACCGGATATGGCCAGGTATCCTTCGTCACATGGCCACCGGATATGGCCAGGTATCCACCGTCACATGGCCACCGGATATGGCCATGTATCCACCGTCACATGGCCACCGGATATGGCTAGGTATCCCCGTCACATGGTCACCGAATATGGTCATGTATCCACCGTCACATGCCCACCGGATATGATCGGGTACCCACCGTTACATGACCACCGGATATGGTCGTGTATCCACCTTCACATGGTCACCGGATATGACCATGTATCCTTCGTCACATGATGACCGGATATGGTCATGTATCCACCGTCACATGGTCACCGGATATGGCCATGTATCAACCGTCGCATGGTCACTGGATATGATCATGTATACACCGTCACATGGTCACCGGACATGGCCGTGTATCCACCGTCACATGGATACCAGCAATGTTCATGTGTCCACCGTGACATGGACACCAGGAGTGTACGGAAGCATTTGTGCGGCGATCGGCGTTTTGGGGTTGCCAGGTCTTGTGTTTGCTTCACTTGCCGACGGAAGATCAATGATGGTGCTGGCCGAGCACGTTTCTCAGTAAGAGCTAGTCAGGATGGTGGATTGCCCGTCGCGTCGCCGGAGGGGGGCCTCGCAATCGATGTGTGGGGTCTCGTCCGCCTTCGATAAATACGAGTTTAGAACGTGGGGTCAAATAGGAAAGGGTGCGCGTAAACGGGACAACTCGTTGTGGTTGATCATGGTAGGACTTAGTTTTTGCATGCTCTTGCGGTTTTTAGCCAAACCCTGGTATATGGCCCAACCGACACGTTGCGTCCGTGTCATACACAGCTGAGGATGTGATTGCGTTTCAGGGACCCGGCGCGGCGTGACCCGGCCACCCTGGAGACGCGCAGTCTGATCTGCCGACACGGCGGTCTTCTGTTCTCACCGCTGCTGCGCGAGGACCGGGAGAGGTGAGAACGCAGTCTGGTCTGCCAACACGGTGGCCTTCTGTTCTCATCGTTGTTGCGCGAGGACCAGAAAGGTGAGAACGCAGTGCGGTTTGCCGACCTTAATGTTCTCACCGCTGCTGCGAGAAGACCGAGAGAGGTGAGAACACAGTCTGATCTGCCGACACAGTGTCCTTCTGTTCTCAACGGCGCTGGGAGAGGTGAGAACGCAGTCTGGTCTGCCGCCACGGCGGACTCTTCAGGGGTGTCGGGTGCCTGGGTATTCTCACCACGGTCTCGCGAGGAATGAGTGAGGTGAACTCACAGTTTGGTCCTCAGACTCGTGGTTCTCGGGCTTGTTACCGCCGCGCCTGCCACGTTAGTGGAACGAAGAGATCGTCCATTTCGCGCCATTACGTCAAGCGGACATGGGGGCGCGAGTGAGTGCGTGGTAAGGATGGACACGCATGCTGTCCGGTCGCTATGTCTGTGAGAATCCAGTGACATTGAGATCAGATGTGTCTTCGTTCCCTGGGGCCAGCACGTCTCGTTCAACGTCGTGTCAGGGCTGTTAGTGGTAGAGTCGCAAAACAAGGCATGAACATGTGGCTGTCGCGATCAGGAATCGTTCACTATTGAACTCGCCACGCGGCCACTCATCCTGTTAGCGTCAATTACGATATAAAAAACTGTTATCATCTCAAGCAGACTTCTGGAAGCACAGGCAGCTTGTTGCCTTCTCATCGACGCCCAAGCTCTCACGGGTGCTGATGCAGGCGGTTTGATGGCTTCAGTGACGAAGGGAACTCGATATCTTGCTGTCGTTCTTTTTTGGCCGACGGCGGGGGCTACGTCTGGCGTTTTCTTAGACCTTCAAAGACACGGTCCATCCCAGTTTGCATTCAGTAGTGAGCGATATGTGACCCGATTGATTGCGCTGGTAAAGGGTCTAGCTACCTTCTTTCGGTAGACTTACGTCGTGCTGAAGTGGACCTCAGTGCACACAGTCTCTTGGCGATAGTTTGATTTTGGACGTAACGACACATATTTGCCATCTCCACAGACATAAGTCGAGCTTCCGACAGCGTTGACCAAGCTGCAGTCGCACAGCATCGATCCTCGATGGTTTCAAAGTTGCCTTGATCGACGGCGGCAGGTGGTGAGAGGTGGTTCACTACCCCCTCCCTTGTCCCACGGTATCTCTGAGCGGGCCTTGGTAGGCCCCATCCTCTTCAGCATCTTCACGAGCGACGTTCCACCCCACCTACCTCAGGGCGTCCGGTTTGCTACGCCGACCTTACCCAGCTCCTCGACTCCGCCCACCCTGACCAAGTGTCCACCCTAAAATGCCGACAGGAGGAAATCACCCGTGCCTTTCAACCCTTCTTCAATGTCAGCGACCTGAAAATGGATTCCACCAAGGCCGCCCTGCTTCAAGTCGGCGCGCCCCAGGTCATAAAAACCTAATGCGGGGCGTGACCATTGATCGTACCTTGTCCTAGGAGGAGCACATATCCAAATTTGTCAGAAAGTGCAACTCCGACGTGTTTTGTCTGTACAAAATTCGTCATCATCTCGCACCCGAAGCTTCGTTGACTTATTTGACGCGCCAACCACGGCATTGGATAGCACGTTACCTTGGCCACAAAAGGGCTTCGGAGATTCGGAAGAAAAGGAATTACTCAGGACCACGTTATTTTTTACCAAAGTGGTCGGAATGCAGTGTATGCAATGTGCATACCGTTTTCTCCTATCGCCGTAACAGACACAGTCCTATCGCCGTAACGGACACATTCCTATCGCCGTAACGGACACATTCCTATCGCCGTAACAGACACAGTCCTATCGCCGTAACGGACACATTCCTATCGCCGTAACGGACACACTCCTATCGCCATGACGAACACACTCCTATCGGCGTAACGGACACATTCCTATCGCCGTGACGGACACATTCCTATCGCCGTGACGGACACATTCCTATCGCCGTAACGACATACTCCTATCGCCATGACGAACACACTCCTATCGCCGTAACGGACACATTCCTATCGCCGTAACGGACACACGCCGTAAGATCAAAAGAAGAGCTGTGTGCACCCATGTTGGACCCAGCAAAAAGCGTCCTGCGTCGCTGCTCGCTCACTACAACCCCATCAGCTTTCCGGGGACTTTCCCCCATCCTGCTTTCCGTTTTTAGCGTGCTTAGTTTTCGAAAGTGGATGCGATCGGCCATAGATCCTCGCTGGATCGGCAAAAGTGAGAAGAACACTCGCTCAGCGAGAGTTCATACACTGCCGAGATGATGAGTGAACACGGCGACGTTGCGCCAACGAACTTCAAAGCCGCAGGTGATAAGCTGTGGATCGTTCATTGTCGAACGCTGCTGCCCAGCCGCGGTACAAGTCCGGTATGGCGCAAGACGCACCGAAAATCCGTTGCCACCGGGATGCGAGTCATGAGGGCATGCAGTCGCGTCAGCCATTCAGCCAGGCGCCTACTCGAGGCCGCAGCCAGCTGTGAGACCATCTGAGGCGAGATCGAGACCGTCAGGGGCGAGATCGAGACCGTGTGAGGCGAGACCGGAGGACCGTCTGAGACGAGACAGAGATCGTCCGAGGCGAGACCGAGCCCGTCTGAGGCGAGACCGAGATCGTCTGAGGCGAGACCGAGCCCGTCTGAGGTGAGACCGAGCCCGTCTGAGACCGGGATCGTCTGAGGCGAGACCGAGACCGTCTGAGGCGAGACCTGCGCCCCGCCTGAGGCGAGACCGTCTGGGGCGAGATCGAGCCCGTCTGGGGCGAGACCGAGATCGATCCTGATGCGAGACCAAGGATCGTCTGAGGCGAGGCCGTCAGTCAGGCAGTCGCCAGGGACTGGCGGGGCAAGTCCCTGGAAAGTCCTGGGAAAGGGACTGGCGGGGAAAGTCCAGGATGATCGGTTCTGATGAGACCGATGATCTGTGGGCCGGCCGGGTCTCCGCTCGGCTCGCGCGCCGGTCTCGCCGTCCTCTCGCCGCCGTCGTCCGGCCGTCGCACGGCTGTCACACGGCTGTCACGCGGCTGCCACAGGCCATCACGCGGCTGTCACACGACCGACGGGCGGTGAGAGGCCGGGCGTATCGGCAGCAGGCCCGGCCCGGCGTGCCCGGGAGGACGAGCGGCCGCCGGCGACAAAGGCCGCGCTGAGGGGCGTCGGCGAAGGCCCGCCCGGTGCTACGTCCAGCTGCACTCCCCGCAAATTAGTCGATTTCTGGGGTATTTAGTTTTGCGGGATGCGGGGTGGTCAGCAACGTTCAGTTCCCTCGGATGTTGTACTGCCGGTACGTGCTAGTCTGCCCTGGAATGCCGGGCTGCCGCTGCCCGCTTGTCTGTCCAGGGCGGTCTGGGACGCTGGCGGGCGAGCTCTGACGCTTAATGAACCTCCGCAGCGGTCGGCGACGCGACCATGTCACATACTTCCGTGGGAACGGCATGGGACCGATTATCACGCTGTGCACTGGGTGCCATTTG